CCATAACAAATGTTCAGCTTTTATCTTGCTACATTGCTGAATTTGTTTATTAGGTCTGGAAGTCTCCTAGTGAAATCTTTTGGGTCTTCCAGACATGGGATTATGTCATTCATAAATAGCTAATTTGACATCTTCTCCTATTTGTATTCCTTTAATTTCCTGTCTAGAGTTTTAAAAAACTATGTTGAATAGGAGTGGTGAGAGAGGACATCTTTGACTTGTTTCTGATTTTAGAGGAACTATTTTCAGTTTTTCTCCATTTATTATGATATTAGCTTTGGGTTTGTCATATATCGACTTTATAATGTTGAGGGTTTTATCCCTATTTTCTCCAGAATTTTTTAAATGAATGAGTGTTCGATTTTGTCAATGGCCTTTTCTACATCAATTGAGATGGTCATCTGATGCTTGTCCTTAATTCTATTTATGTGACGAATTATATTTGTTGATGTATACATGTTGAACCAAACTTGCATCCCTGGGATGAAACCCACTTGATCATGGTACAGTATCTTTTTAATGTATAAAATATTAAGATTTAAATAAATTGAGAGCCCTTATCAATTTATCCCAAGTGAGATTTTAATTTAAAGATTTTAATTTTTTTTCTAAAATTAGTAAAAAAGTGAACTTTCAACTACTATAAAATAAAACAAGGTAAAACTGGGTTTGGTAGCACATACCTGTAATCTGAGCACTCCAGTAGGCTGTGGCAGAAGGCTTGCAAGTTCTCAGCCAGTTTTGCTTGGTAACTTGGTGAGACTCTGTCTCAAAAGAAAAATAATAATAATAATAATAATAAAATAAAAAGGACTGGGGATGTAGTTCAGTGATAGGATGCCCGTGGGTTCAATCCCTAGTACAAAAATAAATAAATAAACAAAGTAAGGAAAGTTTGTCTCCTTGCTAATTAAGATTCATTATAAAATCATGGCCATTAAGGCAGTGTGATTTTGGTACAGGGAGTTAAATTAACCAGTGACATAGAATAGAAAGTGTTCAAACTGATATACAATTGTAGATCAGTGGGAAAGGACAGGCTCCTTAGGAAAAAGTGCTGAGCCATATCCCCAACCTGTTTTGTTACTTTGAGATCTTTGAGATAGTCTTTTTTTTTTTTGGTACTGAGGATTGAACTTAGGAGCACTTAACCACTGAGGCATGTCCCCAGACCTATTTTGTATTTTAATTAGAGACAGGGTCTCACTGAATTGCTTAGGGGATTGCTAAGTTATTAAGGTTGGCTTTGAACTCGTGATCCTCCTGCCTCAGCCTCCCAAACCGCTGGGATTATAGGCACTGTGCCAGGAGAGACAAAGTCTTGCTAAGTTGCTTAGGACTGCACTAAATTGCTGAGGCTGGCCTCAAACTTAAAATCCCCTACCTTAGCCTTTTGCATTGCTAGGATTACAGGTATATGCCACCATGGTCAGCTGAAAACCTTAATATTTAATCAACAAAGTGGTACATGAATAGGGAACTGTCAATCATACTTCCACCCCCCAAACACTGCAGGTTATAGTGCACATGAAGATATTCCTGAGCTGTGAACCACAAGAAATTGGGATATTAACTCTGTCAATGATAATTTAATTAAAATATTTGAGTGTTCTAAAGAAACTCCAGTTTGGCTAGTATTTTATTTTCTTATGCCTCTGAAACATATAGAGATAAGAGCAAATGTTATTAACATTTTTATTTTTGCCATAAACATTTTTCCTTTTATAATTTTCTAAACTTAACAGTCACTACAAATTCTGTAGAGAAAGAAGAATAGGGAATACAAAAAAAAAAGGAAGAGCCCCAGGGACATTTTTCAAGTTTATCATGATATGAATTCAGGTGCTTGATTTTTCTTTTTTTTTTTTTTTTTTTTTTGGCCAAGTGTGAGAGAATTAACTTGGAGGAGAACTGGCAGGATCTAGTGAGGAGATAGGTATAAAAGGAAAATTGGAATAAAATTGGAAACCTATATTGAGGAAGAAAAAACTGATCTCCTGAAGACCATTGTGTTTATAATCATTTGCCTGAGGGTCCTGAGCATGAAGTCCTGGCTCAGTCTGGATATTCAGTGCCTTCTGAAGTTACTATTGCCTTTTGAGTTGGGATCTCCTACCTTTTTTGTTTTGTTTTGTTTTGGTACTAGGGAATTTATTGCAGGGGCACGTAACTACTGAGCCCCATCCCCAGCCCTTTTTCATTTTGTAAAAAACCTCCTTTAGTTGTTAAGGGTAGCCTTGAACTTGCATGAATCTCCCACTTCTGATTGCTACAGGACAAAAAAAAAAAAGAAAAAAAGTAAGAAAGGAAAAAGCCAGAATTGACTATTTAATTAAAGGAGAAAGGAACCAACTAACGAAACAAAAGAGCTTCTAGCACAGAGCAGGGAGAGTTGTGGCATGGTTTCCTGGAATCCACAACAGTGATTCTTAGCTGGAGCTCACTTGGGCTTTGTAACCATGGTTTTCCAAGGCTCCACGGTATAAAAATAGAATATTTATTTAAAAAATAAAACCCGACGACTAAGCCACTGCTGTTCCTACTTACAGTGAAACTGCCTCAAGACTCCCAGAGCACAAACCCATGTAATCTGGTGAATGTGCCCCTCATGTAACAAGGTCCCCTGACACAGGCTGTTGGCTTCCTAGTCCCAGGGTGACTTGGTAGGTGCACAGTGAATAGCACCTAGAGACCCTGGAAACTGATCCTCAGAGAGCCTTTCTTGGGTGTCAAAAGCTCTTCTGACAACCAGAGAGAGTATATGTAGTGAACAGAGAGCCCCCTGTATCTTTCCTTCCACCCCCATCCTTTTGGAAGTGGAATGAACACATTCAGCTGACTTTTCTTCACCACCCGGGTTTGTGAATATTTACGATCCATGGGCCACCTCTCTGACCTCTACCTCTATTTTTCTGCTGACTCACAGATTCCCAGGGAAAGAAGTACGTGAGATACGGAGAAAGATGTCAGTGGTTAACAGGGGGTTCCATGTGAGGAATAAAATACATGTATGACTTTTGTTGTTATGAAAGGGTCAAATTATATTAAGCTAGAAAGGATACTGGTGTATGTGAATATTTGTTCTTCTTTTTTTCTTTATTTGTTACTTACCAAGATCTCCTGTTAATCCCAATAATTCATGGCTTCCCAGGATTAAAGAGTATCTCAACTGATATGGTAATAAACAATGCAACTCTGCTACATACAAGCTTTGCTCCCTTGTCTATATTCTTGTCGTCAGACAATTCATAGTTCACAGAGAAAGTTTATAAAGCTTCATAAAGCATGTTTACAGATACTAACCACACATCAGGGTCAAACAACTTTTCCTATCAAGAAATGGTGTCTGGCGTCTAACATAAAATTTATTTTTTGCAACCCCATCTAATTTCCTCTGAATTGCTCTGCGGTGTTGAAGCACAACTGTATGCTGCTGATTCCTTGTAAATACCTTTTTTGTAGATTTTGTTTATGGAAAGTGATGTATTTCTGAAAATAGATAAATATAATTTTGAAAGTGCAAAATAAGCTTACCTTTGAAATCTACCCAATAGTAAACCACTTTGTAATGTGATTTATTTGCCTTACTTCTGGCAAAATGCACTTTTGAAGCAACTCCATCCTATTACTGAATTTGGGTTTTTGACAACTAACCAATGATATAATTGTATGCTGGTTAGAAACAGGGTAAAGGCTACTGGAAAAGTTGCACTATCTTTTCCAATTATGTTAATAATGGTATGCTTTCCTTTGGTTACAATGTTATAATTCCAATGTTAAAAATGTAACCCAATTATTTCATCATTTGTTGCTGTCATAGGCACAGCATCAGGAAAAATGAGATAGAGGTTAAAAACATTTTTGCCTTCTGTTCTTTGGAAAAAAAATTCACTGTGATGCTCCAGCATTTTTGCTTCATGATGGGTAGTTTGTGTGATGGAGCAATGATGTGTAATGTTTGTGTCCTACATTGTAGTGGCCACTCTGTGGCCATAGGATTGGAAATACACAGCCCTGTCTAGCTGTACTGGGGAAAATTTTGTATTTACACTGTAGTTTTTGTGGAGTGGGAGGAACAATCACAAGGGATCAGGAGACATGAGTTCTCATCTTGGTTTAGTTCTTTGACACCAATGTGTCCATGGGCAATTCCCTAAACAGAGATGACTTCAGTTCCTGTGTCTGAAGAAAAATTAATCCTTATCTTCCTTGTTTATTAACATTTGGGTGTTAACAAAATTAAATAATGTCCATGAATACGTTTTATAACTGTGAAGATACTGTCAGGTGCTTATAATGCTAAAAAGTCAGAAGACAGTTCTATGCTACCTGAATGTGCACAGACATGTAGATCTGAGAGAGAGGAGAGGGGTAAGGAGAAAAAAAATTAAAGAACACTTAGCTTTGGCTTTGAAAACTGAGTGGTATCTAGGGAAGAGGAATGTAGGACAGAGTTGAGAAGAGCAGTCAAAAGATTGGAATGCAAAAGCAGTTTCTCTGTCAGAGTAGAAAAAACTCTACCCAAACCCTAGAAATTCAAGAATTAGTGTGTTCCTACAGAGCCCGGAATTTAGGATGACACCTGTGAACTTGAATGTATTCCATCTTTAAGTTCAAATGTAGGTATACTTAACAGCATAAAATTCTTCTATCAACAATTCTATGATGGTACCATCACTACATCCACGTAAAGATGAGGAAACTGGTCTTAGAGATGCTCAGTCCTTGCCCAAGATAACCTAGCACATGAGAGAAGAAGGAAATGAGTTTATAACAGTTGCCTCTGAGGGCCACGTACTTTTGTCTTACTGAGAAAAAAAAAAAAAGATAACAAGTCTCCAGTCTCCACTCCCCAAAGAAATAAGTAAGAATGTGAATATAAATAAGCAGAAACCTGTGTTGAATTAACCATGGAGTTTACTCAGCCTACTATTGACAGAGACCACCCACCCAGGATCTTTATATTATTTTTCTCTTTCTTAGGTACCATACAGGACTCAATGAAGAGAGAGAATCGCACTTTGGTGAGTGAGTTTATTTTTCAAGGGTTCTCCAGCTTCCGTGAACACCAGCTCACACTCTTTGTCATATTCCTTGCACTGTACATATTAACCCTGGCAGGCAATGTCATCATCGTGACCATAATCAGCCTGGATCGTCATCTCCACTCCCCCATGTACTTCTTCCTCAGTATGCTGTCGGCTTCGGAGACAGTGTACACACTTGTCATTATACCAAAGATGCTCTGTGACCTCACAGGTGCCGGTCAGCCCATCTCCCTGGCTGGCTGTGCCTCTCAAATGTTCTTTTTCGTCACTTTGGCCATTAACAACTGCTTCCTGCTCACAGCCATGGGGTATGACCGCTATGTGGCCATCTGCAACCCCCTGAGATACACGATTATCATGAGCAAGAGGGTGTGCTTCCAGTTGGTGTGGGGGGCCTGCAGCATTGGCCTAATTGTAGCAATGACACAGGTGTCAGCTGTGTTCCGACTGCCCTTCTGTGCCACCAAGGTGGCCCACTTCTTCTGTGACATCCGACCCGTGATGAAGCTCTCCTGCATCGACACCACTGTCAATGAGATCCTGACTTTGGTCATCAGTGTGCTGGTGATCCTGATTCCTATGGGCTTGGTTTTCATTTCCTACATCCTCATCATCTCTGCCATACTCAAGATTGCCTCTGCTGAGGGCAGGAAGAAGGCCTTCGCCACCTGTGCCTCCCACCTTACAGTGGTCATCGTCCACTATGGCTGTGCCTCCATCGCCTACCTCAAGCCCAAGTCAGAGAACACCAGGGATGAGGACCAGCTGATCTCTGTGACCTACACTGTCATCACCCCGCTCCTGAACCCTGTGGTCTACACCCTGAGAAATAAAGAGGTCAAGGATGCTCTGTGTAGGGCTATTGGCCGAACACTCTCCTGACAGGATGGATCCATTTCAAATAGCGTCTTGCAAGATTCTCTAGACAGGAAAAGTGGGGCAGTGCCCACAGTTACTAGAGTTAAGATTCTGGAGACCATGAAGCAGTGGTTTGTTGAGAGGAGGAGAGAACAAAGGCATTAGAAATTCAGACACTTGAGAACAAAGGCAGCTCTCCAAAGCCCAAACAAACCTGCAGCTCACATGAACAAGGATAGAGAGCTCACTGGCATTGGGGAGTGGATGGCTGTCTGGACAGCCAGAGACTGAATGAAATCAGAGCTGCAGATAGAATTAACGAGGGGAGACTGATCTAAGGCAGGGGCAAAGTTTTAAATATATAACACTTTTTGGGGGGAGGGGGGACATAGAGTTTCTCCTTATCCATTTGGAGACATGCAGATTTAAAAGCTAACTAAAGTCACTTTTTTTTTTTCACGGACAATTCTAGTTCTTTTGCATCATAGATGTCATAAATCAAGTGGATTACACAGACAAGCATCTATAAAACTCAGCAGCATAAAGTTTGGATCTTTTTCCTATACGTTCCAGGTTGGCCAAATAGGAAAACAGGTATCTGTGTTTTCAGGATCATATAAAAGAAATATTTTTAGAATGTGATTAAAACCCCTTGGCAATCTGGTTAAAGAGGTAGCAACAGTGATCATATCTTCATTTATATTGTGAGAATGTGCAAATATTGTTGGTGATACTCTATGTAAGGAATTATTTCTGGGGGAGGAGAGAGAGCGTAGACCAGTTTTAGATCTTTGGGCCTTCAGAGATCCTGGAAGAATGAACAGAATTTACTGGTGAACACATGTCATGCATATAATTATAGTGAATATCTCACATAATATATACTTTTTATGTACCAGGAATTGAATCCAGGGGCACTTAAGCACTGAGCCACATCCCCAGTCCTTTTTAAATTTTATTTAGAGATGGGATCTCACTGATTTGCTTCTGGCCTTGCTAAATTGCTGAATCTAGCTTTGAACTCTCTATCTTCCTGCCTTAGCTGGCTGAGCCACTGGGATTACAGGCGTGTGATACCACACTTGGCTCACGTGATATCCTTTTGGATGACAGTGTGAAATGAGCAGTGAATGGGACCCTGGAGTCAGCTGAAGGGACTATTCCGCCCACTTGTACCAGGTGATGTGTTTTCACAGGACAGATCCTCCTTTATGTTAATTTCAAAAGCTAATATTACATCTAAATATTTAAATTTTTCAAATAACTCACTAAGGTTTATTCTTACATAGATTCAATTACATATTTGGGGGAGTTTCTGGTGAAATCTAAGAGAACCCCAAATAGGAGTTACCCTATACTTTCCAATGGTTGCTTTTACTTTTACTCAATAAAAAATACATTTCATTTTTATTTTCCGGTAGCCTTAAAAATGCTGCCCTATACCTTCAACCTTCTGGATAATAAGTCTAGGTCTGCAAACATTGCTACTTAATGTGTTAGGTAGCAATTTTTAGTTAGCAGAAGTGAGTAGAAATAACATAAACACTGCAATAAAAAGATTTAATTTTGGACTCTACTTCTTATTCACCATATATATTTCAACAAATCTTTAAATTTCTCTGAGCCTCAGTTTCTTTATCTGTGAAACCTATATCCAGAGTTTCTTGTCAAACACAAAAGTCCTTTGGAAATGAAAAAAAAAAAGGATAAATATCCTTTATTCTTGTTAGAGTGAGAAAATAGCTATATTCCCCATAAACTCATCTTCCCTTATCTGCAAAATGGGGTTACCAATCCCCACTCTGTTCTCCCCACTGAACTGTGGTATGAATCAACTCCACTACAATAAACACAGCAGGCACAGCTGTGGAAACTGCAGGAAGTATTCAGAATGATGATGTATTATTACTGCTATCATCATTAGTATTAGCTATCATAATCCACACACTCTTATCTCCCCGAATTTTTCTAGCCATTTTATATTATTTTACTGATCTCTTTTAACTCTTACCTTCCTCTTGTGTACTCTTTAGTCCTAATTGTTGTTCCATTTTGTCATTAAGTCTGTAAATCATATGTTTTTGGTCTCTCACAAAAGAATATTTATTTCCCAAACCTTTCATTTCTGTTTTGTTAGCAATCCCAGTAGTTAATGCCCGATTTCCTGCTCCACATCAAGCACTTTCACCTTTGTATTTCAGCGAATTTCAAACTCTTTACCATGACTCATGGCCCCCAGTACAAAATGCATGTTATAGCAACCAGATGCATACATATACATCCGTGTCTGTGTACACACCTACAAACCAAAGCACAACAGTCACAGGACAGGAGTTAACTTGTGCAGTACATTCTCATGTTTTTCACTCAAGTCTGTTCTGTTTTCTTCTATTTCATTTTATTTAAAAGTTTTTTCTTTTGTTTTTGTTTTCTATGAATAGAGACACATCTACTATACATTTTGACTAATCACTCAATGGTTGGGAGTTAAAAATCTGTTTTCAACTGAAGTCAATGCCGAAGCCCGGTATCAAACGACTTTATTTCTGGGATACTACAATAAAATTTAAAATGTTATTTTAGAAAATTGGAGTTTTATTATTAAACTCATCATGCTGAAACAGTGGACATTTTAGAAGAGGGACATTTAGACATTATTTTCAGCTTCTAAATCATTCCAGCAGTCACTAAAACACACGTTTGCATTGTTAGGTAGATGCTCATTTTTCAACTGAGAAACGGAGCTTGGTGGAGAAACAAAATATCTTGGGGGAAATATTTCATTATTCCTCAGCATTTTCTTCTTTGCTTCATATTCTTTATTACATGTAGATTAAAAAGAATTCACACTGGATATTGTCCTGTATGATTTGGGAAGTAAAATTAAAATCAGATTGTAAATTCATCTATAAAAGTTGTGAGGGTTCATTGCTTAAATGAAATTAAGAAATCAAAATAACACAGTACTTGAAAAAAAATTTTAATTTCTAAATGCTTTACAAAGATTTTTTCCCCAAACCTATCCAATAGCCAACATACTCTTATTATTTAATATTAATATGAAATATTAATTTATTTCCTATTTAACTACTTAAAATTCTTAAATTTGTCCAAAAAGTTAACACATCTAACAATTATATTAAATTATTCTTGAACTTTACTCTTACACTGGTAAATACAATGCGTATTTAAATTGATAAAATTTCAACATACAAAGACAAAGCTAATTGAGACACAGATAGAATAACTAATTGCATTTGAAAATGTATATTCAAGTATTATTGTAAATCCATATAACTTGTTTATTCATTATTAATGTTGTTAGATTGATTAAAGTCAATAACTACTTTAAAAGATGGGAGGAATAAAAGGGTATCAGTTAAACTCCCAATAACACTTAGAGCTCTCAATCAGAGAATGAAGAATTCTCCCCTATGGAACTTGGCATTTTGAGAGAAAAGACTTACAAGACTGGACAGTTTAGTGCCCTATTTTGGGAAAAAAGCAAGATAATCCTAATAAAACTAGCTTTATCATATTACCAAGATTTATCACTCTAGTAAAAAAAAAAAAAAGCCCACACTCTACACCCCCAGCCACACACGTGTGTATGCACACACACACACACACACACAGCTTCTAAAGAACTTGATGGAGAGTCACTCTTAGCTATGATTCAAGTTACAGGGATCACCAAAAATTCGAAGTCACTAACATAAAAAGAAATATCAATATAATAAAAAATAACAAAGGGAAAAGAAACACAGAAGAATCAGATATAGTGCAGGGTGTATATTAAAGTGTCAAAAGATACACATTTCATATTTTCAGAAGGATGTCAAGATAATATCTGTGAAATAAAAGTGGAGTGCTATATAAAAGCCAAGTTCTGAGAAGTGGGAGGATATTTTACAAATTAAAAATGCATTAGCAGAGACAGAGTGAGGTGAAGGTGGAAGATTCAGCAGCGCCAGAACCTGTCTCTCCATCTAAACAACGGAATCTGCCTGATGTGATCTCTCTGGAACCCTAGAGTCTATTGAAGGCTTGCAACTTTCAGGGGAAGCCATGACTGTAAACTGCAGTTGATTCCCATCAATATCAGCACAGTAGGAGCTAGCCATTCCTCTCTGACAGCCACCAGAAGACAGCTACGCACATGTTCCTGGGAGAAATCGCACATAGCTTTCAGAAGCCGGGGTGACCCTGCCCTCCATATACGAAGGTTCTGTGCTCTGATGGCTTATTGCTGCTTGTGCTCATACACATGCAGACGAAGAAGTGAACAGCCATTATTGCCTCCTCCCTCTCCTGTGGCTGCAAGGGCCCCATCTTCCAGCTGACATGGTTTTCAGAGGATTTAAAGGGACAACACTCCTTTACCCCTTTTATTGATATTTTTCCCTCTTTTTTTGGAAACCCAGACATTGAAGACTTGAGTATTGAAAAGCAGCTGCATATACAAGGAAAATTAGAAAATTACCATGCTTTCCCAAGGAAAGATGCAGACTCAGAAAACACCTGAGAAAACCTTAATTTTAAGGTCTGAACTTTGGCATAGAACCTACAATATACAAATAATTAAATAAATAGATAAAGATGACAAAAAGCAGAAAACTGGGAAAGGAAGAGAATCTGATTTCCAGAGTTATGATAGTTAGATCCATGTTCAGTGAATCAAATCAAAGGCATACAAAGAAATGGAATCGTACGTTCCAATCCAAGGGAAAAAAATAAATAAATTCATTGTCCTTGAAAGGGATAGAATAGCAGATTTTTCAGAGTAAGACATTAAGACAATGAACTTAAAGAAGCCTCCCCCTTCAAAAAAAAAAACGTGAATGCACAAAAAAGCCAAGAAAACATGAAATATTAATGAAAAGAGAGAAAAAAGTAAAAAGAAATCTTGGAGCTAAAAAGTAAAATAACTGAAAGGAAAAATTCATTGGAGATATTCAAAGCCAGATACGAGCAGGCAGAGGAATCTGCAAACTTGAAGAGAAAACTACTGAGTCTGAAGAATA